GGTTTTAATTTCACATTTAAAGCATCTTTTCATTTTTTAAATAATTTCAAATATCAGTATTCAACATTTCATGTTTAAAATGACAAAACATTATTTATGCATTTGTAACTGCAGGTTAAAGCATTCCATGTCCCTCTAAGCTAACATATGTAAACATCTAAATGCCACTTCATACGCAACTTCTGCAAAGATGAATTTTATTGATACTGATTTCATTTGTTTAGTAACAGCCTAAATGTATTATTATTATAACTGACTGATTAAATGTAAGAATTACTGCTGTTTTTTGTCAATATCGCACACCCCTAGTACTGACACAATATGATTGGCAACGGGTGCTTTGTCACGCCCAGTGTCGATGGCCTCAAACTGTTGGTTTATTTCGGTCTTTTTTATTTTTGTGGCTAGTAGAAGTTATGAATGGCCGGTAACTTAAAAATGTAGTAGCCAAATTGGCTGGTGAGTGAAAAAGTTAATTTCAATCCCTGCGTACTACGTATATGGAATAACCGTTTTATAAAAGCAGTAAGCCCCATGAAGCCGTGGTTTACAGTGAATTTATAACAGCTAAGGGGGTGTTATAAACTCCGCTTTATAACTCTATAACTTTATAACTCCGCTTCACGTTGTACCGAACAACGCCCCTTAGCTGTTATAAATTCACTGTAAACAACAGCTTCTAGGGGCTTATTGCTTTAGTTTGAACTATAAAAAGTTCTAAAAATAACATCCTTTTGTTATCACAATGACTATGTCAGATAAAGCTGTTTGCTAAAGCAACGGTTTCATGGTTTACTCTAACAGATCATTAGTCCAAGCTCACCCTGTCCTTTGGCTTTAAGATCATCTTCAGGATTTTCTCTGTAAAGAAGAACAGGTAGAATCCTCCAAACACGACAGCAGACTTGGGCACATAATAATCCTCCATGGGGTTGAATCCGAAGGCCTATATACAGAAAAAACAAGCATGTTTTATGATGTCAATACAATTCAAACTAATTTAAAATAACACAGCATTTGTTATTAACCTCAAATCACAAACTGTTGTGTTTTTATTATCATACAATTCTACACAGACTGCTGAACGACACTACAGTTTAAAAGTTTGGGGTCAGTAAGATAAATAAATTAATACTTTTATTTAGCAAGAATGCATTAAATTGATCAAAATCAAGTTTTATTTTGACTTATTTTGTTACAATGCTGTTCATTTGACGTTTCTTTTCGTCAAAGAATCCTGAAAAAAAAAAAAAAAAAAAGTTTCCACAAGAAAATAAAGCAGTTTTCAGTTGACCAAATTAGTATATTGTAATATTTTCTGAAGGATCATGTGACACGGAATACTGGAGAAATGGCTGCTGAATATTCAGCTTTGGCATCACAGGAATAAATTACATTTTAAATTACAAAAAATAAAAAATAAAGACCCCAAACCTTTGAACGGTAGAGAAAGCTGCATATAATGTGTTAACAAACTGAATGTGTGCATTACATAATATACTTAGTATGGATCCAATCTAAATACAAACCCATAATCACTCTCCTAGACAGCAGGAACAATCAAGAGTAACAGCATTCTTCAGTTATTTCACAAGCTGTCATGAAGAGTGAGAATAGGATTTATTTTAGATTGGGTCTTGGTGTAATTCACTAATGCCTCAGGGCTTCTCCCCATTTTACTTGGCTTTTCACCTCCGATTTATGATTTTTCACAAATTGGGCCTTTCACTTAAAGGTTTTAAATTAAGGTATTTGAATAGTTCACAGTCAGATAAAAAAATCAGCATTAAATGGTCATTACTATGATTTTAAAATACATCCTGTGAGAACAACAAAAACAACAGAGGTTCTATGGATCAATAGAGTTTATTGATTGTTTTATACTCCGTTTTCTAGCCTTCCAGCTGGGGAGAGCTACTGAGGCCGGGAAGAGTTATATTTGTGCTTAAAGGGAATGTTCACATAAAATGAAAATTCTTTCTGCAGTTCTCACCCTCACGTTGTTCCAAAACATGCTATTTTATTATTTAGAACACAAAAT